TTTTTTTTAAATATATATTTTTATTGACTTCAGAGAGAAAGGGAGAGGGACAGAGAGACAGAAACATCAATGATGAGAGAGAATCATTGTTTGGCTGCCTCCTGAATGCCCTCCAGTGGGGGTCGAGCCCGCAACCTGGTCATGTGCCCTTGACCGGAATCGAACCCGGGACCCTTCAGGCCGACATTCTATCCACTGAGCCAAATCAGCTAGGGCCAGAAATGTCAGTAATTTTAACAAACCTCAAAAGACTGAGTAAGCTTTGAATGTTCTGTTCAGAGAGAAGGGTTAGTAATTGGGAAGACTCATGTGGCTCCTGATAAAATAATTCCACACACTTGCTCAGAAAAGCGACAAGGTTCCTGACTTGCGTAAGTTGGTTATTTTTCTTTGAAAAATATCATCATTGTTTACTTCACAGATACAACTTTTAACTGAAAAATCTTAATAAGCATTTTTTTTTTCAAAGAGAGAAACTGAGGCTGATGTTGCTGAGGTCTTGTGGTGACTTGTTGGCAAAGGTGTGAATGAAACCTCGACTCCCTACCTCTTTCTTCTCTTTGTCCTGCCTTTTTTATATTGATGAAGAATTTTGAGGCCTCCATGCGATGTATAATTACTTAGCGGTAGAGGAGTGAGCTATAGCACAAGCAAATAGTGCAGACAGATGCTTGATGTCTGTTGACATTTCACCTTATTTAGTATCATTTAGGTTTTATACTTCATAATCAATTTTTAAGATATCCTTAAAGGTATTTTGACTTTGTTGTTGTTGTTGTTGTTGTTAATCCTCACCCGAGGATATTTTCCCATTGATTTTAAGAAAGAGTGGAAGGGAAGGGGAGAGATAGAGAAACATCGATATGAGAGAGACACATCGATTGGTTGCCTCCTGCCCGGGCCCCCACCAGGGTTGGGGATTGAGCCTGCAACCGATGTACATGTCCTTGACTGGAATTGAACCTGGGGCCCTTCACTCTGCAGGCTAATGCTCTAGCCACTGAACAAAACTGGCTAGGGCTATTTGGACTCTATATGATAAAATACCTTGAAATGACATATCATAATCTTTTATGGTAGAGAGATTATCTTTAAGATGTGCTTGATATGAAATCACAGAGAAAAAAAATCTTTTGAGTCATTGGGTTTTAAGGGATTATGTCATGAACCCAGAATATAAGCATACTTTTAAAATCTATTAAAACCACCTCCATCTACTGTATTATATTGATCTTTGACCTAAATTGAAAAGGTGTTGTTGTTTTTCCTTCCCTATAATGTTTTTAAAAAGACATTGGGCCTATGGGTATTGGACTTTAAATCAAATTATCTAACAGATAAAAAAGGAAAAAAATTGCTTTGGGTGTTAGGTCATGACAATAAGTAGGCACTTCCTTATGGCAGGTTGAATCCATGCCCGTCTTGTTTTAGTGTGTGGCTGATCGCACAGACCTACCCACAGCGGCCACAGACTCCTCCTCCGTCTGCTGCTGCTCTGAACTCTGAGGGATCTCGTCCCAAGCTACTGATGAGAGGGTGTAGCAGTCGGGACCGCAGTAGCTCACGAGAGCATTTTGTTCATTCTCTGATCGTGACTTTACCTTGAACCTAAAGGCTTGGGCATCTCCGTGAGCGGGAGCCCCAGTGTGTTGCTGTGATAATGATGCCGTCATGGTTGCTTACTCCTTGATTAAAACCTCCACGCTCTGCACTTAATACTATTCAACTATTAGGGAGTACAGGACTCAGCAATAAATTGTCAGTTGTTGTTGAAGAAAATGATTTAAAGAAATGTTTTATAAGATTATTTCAGTCTTGTCTTGTCATCCTCATCCCAGCCATTTATTGTGGACAACTTTCCCAGGTACATTGCCATGAGATCTAGAGTCTCTGCATAGTGTTTGGTGAGCTGCATTGGAGACAAAACTCTCTGGGGGTGATGGCTTCTCCAGAGAGGACCTTTGGCTTTGCACTGGCACCAGCCTGGGTTTGAATCCAAGGCTAGCCACGTTGGCTGTGCATCCGTGAGCCAGTTGACTTAACCTTGTGGGGTGTGGGCATGTGAATCTTCTAGAGTAGCCCCTCAGATGTAAGAGGTGCTTTATAAATGCTACTAGAGGCCTGGTGCATGGAGTCCTGCACTGGTGGCCTGGCCTGTGGGGTTTGGGCCAAAACCGTCTCTCTGACATCCCCAGGGGTCCCAGATTGTGAGAGGGCGCAGGCCAGGCTGAGGGACCCCACTGGTGCACAGTTAGGCCAGGGAGGGACCGTGGAGGGCTCCAGGGCATGTCCGGCCTGTCTCACCCAGTCTGATCCACCGGACCCCAGCAGCAAACTAACCTTCCAATTGGATTGTCTGCCCCCCCAGTGGTGAGTGTGTCATAGCGACTGGTCGACGGTTGAACGAACGCCTGGACATTTAGAATATTAGGCTCCAGTGGTCAGAGTGTGTCATAGCGACTGGTCGACCGGTTGAACGAACGCCTGGACATTTAGAATATTAGGCTTTTATTATATAGGATTCCTCATCTCTTCCCTGCGAAAGTTGTGTATTTTGCACCCATGGGAGGGCAGACTTCTTTTTCTAGAAGGTCAGTACACTGACAGTGAGACAAGTGCCAGGAAAGGAGTGGACAGATTCCTGTGGGATCCTCCTTTGGTGCCCTGTGATGGAATGTGCAGCGAAGCCGGGGGAGAGCATGGTGTTGGCTCCTTGTGCCCGGGAGTGCCCACTACTACGTGTTCCAAATAACACTCCTTCCTCTCTCGGCAGGTGCCCGAGATCATCAGCTCCATCCGCCAAGCAGGGAGGATCGCCCGCCAGGAGGAACTGCATTGCCCCTCGGAGTTCGACGACACGTTCTCCAAGAAGTTCGAGGTGCTCTTCTGCGGCCGGGTGACCGTGGCGCACAAGAAGGCACCGCCAGCCCTGATCGACGAGTGCATTGAGAAGTTCAACCACATCAGTTGCAGCAGGAAAGCCGAACTTGACCTGGTCTCCCAGAACTCCGAGGCCAGCAACCCTGCTGTGGCGCTTTCCTTCACGGATAAGTTCCGGTCGGTGCTGCAGCCCGCGGGGCCCACGGAGCAGGGCCACTGGCCCATGCGCAAGTCCTTCTCACAGCCCGGCCTGCACTCCCTGGCCTATAGGAAGGAGTTTCAGGATGGGAGCTTGCGAAGTCACAGTTTCTTCAGCTCTTTTGATGAAAACGACATTGAGAACCACCTCATCAGTGGACACAATATTGTGCAGCCAACGGATATTGAGGAAAATCGAACTATGCTTTTTACGGTAAAACATCACCAAGCCTCGTGGTCATCCCCAGTCTTAAGATAAGAAAATCTGCTTTATTGAGTGAAGAAGCTTAGTACATTGCTTTTGGATTTATGTGGAATCCATGTATTTTTATCCTCAATAATTCTTTTCTCAGGATAAAGTCCTTGCTTGAGTCCTAAGCCTTTAAAGTCATCAAGGGGAAGGATAATAAGAATCCATTTTCTTATATAATTTTTATCTCCCCCAACCATGCTTATAAAGATAACTTTTCAATGTGGAAGGAACACAGTTAATAAGTGTAAAAGAGGCCCAGAAAGGGATTTTAAAAAATGTATAGTAATTTCAAGTCATCTCTTTCAACAAAATCTTTTTGGAAACTACTCCCTCCTTGGTATTTTTATTAATGTATAAAGCATTTATGCTTTGTTAAGCAGGGTAATTGGATTTGGAGATGACGTGATATTTGAAATTTATACCCAAACTGAAATGTTAGTTCAGCCAATGGCCTGCTCACTTTTTTCTAGAAGTTTGGTAAACTGATAATGGGCCAAACGGCAGAAAAGGAATTGGCAGGGAGGCTGTCCCTGGCAGGTGGGGGTGCTGCATGCGCTGCCCTCCCTGGGAGTCCCTGGGTCTGAGCTGATGGGGGTGGAGCTGTCCCAGCAGGGCGCTGGCCTCTGAAGATGGAGAGAACTGATCGTCCCTTGACGCCCCCGCCCCTCTCTGTTGTTCCTTTGACTTAAGGTTGAGCAGAATTACCTTATCTGTCCCGTCTTGTTCTTGTGCCTGACCCAGGGCAGTGAGATGACTGAGGGGTAAGGAGCTGGCTACTTAGTTTAGTGCTGATGGCTGTATGTCGGTTTACGATCGAGTCAGGGAACACAGGGCTGACTTCTTCCCGTTTTCATCATAGACCTAGTGTACTGAAGGGTGCTACTTGCAGTCAGTCTTGTGCTTTAATCTGTATTTTTGAAAAATTTCTCTTGGAGTCATCGGGAAAGCTGCTCGGTGCATTTATTTTCGAGTACTTATTGTGTGTCCACTGCATACAGGGTCCCTTGCAATGCACCAGAAATACAGCCGTGAACAAGACATGTAGTCTCTGCCCACGTGGAGTTTAGATTCTGGAAAAAGAGACCAACAACTGGTTGCAAGTAATGATCTCATTACAGTTGGGATAAATACTGCAAAGGATAAGCAGAGGGTGCTGCCAGAGCCTCGGGGGTCTGGGGGGGCTTCTTTGAGGAGGTGACTTTCACCGAGCAGAGGCTTTGGTGTGGACAACCAGCAGAGTGTCCTGGGTTCAGGGAGGTGCAGGAGAGGAGGCCCCGGGGGAGGGACGGAGCACAGACAGCAGGTGGCCATGGCGGCTCAGTTCTAGAGCGGAGTCTGCTGTGCTGACTCAGGTCAGTAAGACAGTGTTAAGTTATGCTAATGCTCTAACTTTACAAAGTCTGCTACATAGTACAGGAATGCCTAACACATAGTATGGACTCCACAAAGGGTAGATTATTTTAACAATAATTTTAAAAGACGTAGAATAAAAGTCATTAGTAAACTGTTTGGGACGTTTTAAAAGACAGTTTTTGTTTTCTGGGAGATTCACTTACGTAGGAGCTGAGGCGTTGCTGCTGACTTTGGATATGTGGTTCTTCCATCACACGGAGGGACCGCTGTTTAATGTAGGCGAACGCGCTAAGTTGTCCTGCACTACCCGAAACCCGTAGGTTAAATGACAACCTTGGAAGCGATTTTACACGGTGAGATAGTCAGAATTTTATAGACGCTTGCCCCTTTTATTCTTTATTTTCATGGGTCATGAAATGAGAAAGTTTGTGAGATAAATTTGAATTCAGCTTTCATGAGAAGCTGGTTGCTTTTTTTGTTTGTCTTTTAAGATTGGTCAATCTGAAGTTTACCTCATCAGTCCTGACACCAAAAAAATAGCATTGGAGAAAAATTTTAAGGAGATATCCTTCTGCTCTCAGGTAAGTTCAGATGGGTTATTGGCTCAATTGCAGTGGAATTTTTACTGAATTATTTCCATATCTGTCCATCAACGGAAGTGCTAAAGGTCACAAGATGTATGTGTTCTAAGTACTTGATTTGTGTTCTTGCATTTCTTCCTCCTTTACTTTGACATGTTAAGGCAAAATGTGAATGTAATTTTGAAATTAAGGATTTTGTTTTTAGAAACAATAACCTACTGGAGAAAATAGGTCTACTTTTCTTTTTTTCAATTACTGGTGGTAATATTTCCAAGAGATGATTCTCATGTGTATATGTGTATGTCTGTGGGCACGTTTTATATATATATTCATACATATTTTTAAATAGATACTTATTTCTTCTTTACAAACTTAATAACTTTATTGGGTACCAATAACATGATTTCTTCTATCTCAAAATATAATAGACAGCGATTATTTTTGAGGATGTTTTGCTCAGGATACTGTCTACTTGAGTTCTTTCTTAATAATCTCCCAATGAGTTCCGTAGATTTTGGAGAATCGATCAGTTATAAATGAGCTGTGCCAGTTTTACTCAGGATCTTCCTCACAACTATGAGGTCACTCAAGATACTGTTTGACTACTTTTTAAACTCTGACTTCTCATTTCCTCACTTCCATTTTCTCTTAATAAGATGATGAAGATCTCGTTGTTTATTGATTTATAACATGATCTCCTTAAGGATTCAAAGGGATTTTCCCCCCCAAAATGTGAAACTAAAGAATGTTCCTCAATAGATCAAATAGGGGACCATTTACAAAGGAACAGTTTTTCCAAACCCTGTTCCCCCGAGAAGGAACCTCTAGCACAGCTGTGGGCAAACTACGGCCCGCGGGCTGGATCCGTCCCGTTTGAAATGAATAAAACTAAAAAAAAAAAAATAACATGATTTCTTCTTTCTCAAAATAGAATAGACAGCGATTATTTTTGAGGATGTTTTGCTCAGGATACTGTCTACTTGAGTTCTTTCTTGATAATCTCCCAATGAGTTCCATAGATTTTGGAGGATCGATCAGTTATAAATGAGCTGTGCCAGTTTTACTCAGGATCTTCCTCACAACTACGAGGTCACTCAAGATACTGTTTGACTACTTTTTAAACTCTGACTTCTCATTTCCTCACTTCCATTTTCTCTTAATAAGATGATGAAGATCTCATTGTTTATTGATTTATAACATGATCTCCTTAAGGATTCAAAGGGATTTTCCCCCCCAAAATGTGAAACTAAAGAATGTTCTTTAATAGATCAAATAGGGGACCATTTACAAAGGAACAGTTTTTCCAAACCCCGTTCCCCCGAGGAGGAACCTCTAGCATGTGCTGCACTTGCTGGTGGAGAACACTGAGCAGCCAGCCAGGCCCTGGTTGCCACGGATCAGAAAACATCTGATCGAACGTGAGATTCTCCGCAGAACTTTTATCTTGATTTGCTGCTATTTCTATGGAAATGGTAATGCTTAATGTTGGCTTTTTCACGTGATAGTTTTATGATTTCCTCAAGTTTACGTAATCGCCTGACCTTCCCGCGGTCAGCACTCAGACCTCCGCCGGCGGGTGCTCTCAGGAGACCCCCCGCATGAATGTCTATGGACCATGTCTTCTCTGTATTAAGGTGCCTCATAGCTGATACGTTCAAAACAAGTTTAGATATTAATATTTATTAGAAAGAGCTCTTAAAAACGACGATGGAGCCCTGGCCTTAACATCTTATGTTTAAAAGCTTATCTTTCCTTTGTGATTATAATTTCTGGCTCATTCTTCATACCAGTTTACTTCAGTATTTGCCCATTTATTGTATAAGTACACGCATGTTTTTGAATCTTTTAACCTTTGTGTCTGTGTGTGTTTGCATGTGTGCATGTATGCGTGTGTGTGCATGTGTGTGTATGGTTGTGTTTCTTCATTTATCTCTGGTCTGCTTTTGATTTTCCAAGTAGCTTTTTATTCTTTAATACCTCCGAAAAATTCTCATTTTTCTGTGTCAACTTTTCTTTCCTTCCTTTTAGTGCTAAAATGAGCATTAAAAACTCCAGTTGTGAGATCTTATTGTGGGAATAATCAGAGTAGCATTTGAGAAGAACAGTGTTCATCATCATATTTGGGAGGGGTTTTTAGATGTTTACCTGAAATAATGACGTGATGGTGCCCTTTCACGTGGCGTGGTGTAAATTGGCAGTTGCCTTCCTGGCAGCGATGCCTCTTTCGGATTCAGCTCAACGTTCCTTCTTCTCTCCCACCTCCGACAGGGTATTAGACACGTGGACCACTTCGGGTTCATCTGCCGGGAGTCGTCGGGAGGCGGCGGTTTCCATTTCGTCTGTTACGTGTTTCAGTGCACAAACGAGGCTCTGGTAAGCCTGGCGGGCAGCGCTCACGTGAACCCTTAGCGACGAGGACTTTCAACCTCACGGATTTTTCTTTCCTTAGCAAAACCGCAGTCTCATTGACATATTGTTATTTGACTTTACTATTCTTTCATGACTATTTAATTAGCACGTACCTGAGATTTACTTGGGTGTGCATTTTCAGTTTTCGTTATTTTTTAAGAACTGGCTCGCCTGCACCCCCTGGTTTAGCAATTTTAAAATGTCATTTTGGACTTTTGATCAGAGGAATTGGCTTTTTCACTCTGTAACTAATTGGTGCTTTTAGTTTTTCTCGTATCCCCTGTAAGAGCCCTGAGCATCTAGGCCAGTGGTTCTCAACCTTCCTAGTGCTGCGACCCTTTAATACAGTTCCTCATGTTGTGGTGACCCCCAATTTCATTGTTACAAATTGAACATAATTTTAAATGTGAAATTTGAAAGAACAGAAGGTCCTCAATAATAATAATTTAAAAAAACCCTTCTACTTATTCACTGTATTTTCCTTGAGTAACAGGAACAACTTCTTTTTTAAAGTGACCTTTTTCTTTAAGAGAGTGAATGTCAGAAGGTCTAGGTTAGTGTTGCCTTTCCTTCTAAAGCCCATGGCATGAAGGGTGAAATCATTGTTCCTTCATTAGCTGGGGGAGGAGGTTGCTAAGAGTAGCATCGACCCAGACTCAGATGCTTGTAGAGTGGGTCCATTTATCGCACCCCGACTTTGTTTCAAAGGGCAGGCTAGAAGTTTGGAGTAGGGAGAGAGGTCCAGGAGCCGGACAATGGATAATTGTTCATCTAAAAAAGATGCATTTCCGAAGTTTATAGACTAGACGTTTTGTGTATCTCCAGAGCAGTTCAGCTTTGTTTTCTTCATGTTCAGTGAAAATAAACCATTAAGTTGGATGGTCTTCTAAAAATGAACTCTGACTGGTAATTTCAAATCCAAAGACTGTGGGGGCTGGAGGAGACCGTTAGTGTGTCTCGTCCACCAGCTTCATTTGAACGGACGAGGAAGCTAAGTTAAACTACGCCTTTGGTCACACTTCCAGGCAGCACCTTGGGCCTCCAGGTCCTCATTCCTACTCCCCTGTGCTTTGCCATCACGCTGCCTGAAAAGTAAAGGATGTGGAGAGAATTTTGTAAATAGAAAAAAAATGGAATCAGTGCCATGACATTTTGTGTGCGAGTTCATGCCTTGTGGCAGAAAGTGCTTGCTGACGAACACATGTGACATATAGAACCATGACCCTGGGCCCAGTCGCTCTTTTTCTTTCTATTTCACTAACCATCAGAGTTTATAAATGTGTAGCCACGATGGCTCTTGACCTCTGGGTGTTTACACAGATTTTGTTCTTTTCTTCTGTTTTCAAGACTATTTGTTTATTAAATATTTTGACTATGCCTCTATCTGATGTGAAATATTTATTTTAGGCATAAGGACATCAGAGGTCAAGAGCTAATTCTGGCCCACCAGCTAGTTCCACTGTTTCTTTTAAAAAATAATCTCCCTTTTTGGGATCATTGGTGCCCCCTAGTGAGGTGATTGGGTAAAACACTAATTAATGAATGGAAGGACACGGTTAGTTAGCATTTCCAAAGTAGTTTTGTTGACAATAAAAAAATAAATGTAATATCTTCTCCTTCTTCTTTTTTAAGAAATTGAGACCAAGAAATGAGCAGCGAGAGAATGAATTGGTTATTTCTTTCCTGAGATGTTTATATGAAGAGAAGCAAAAAGTTCACACCCATATTGGGGAGGTAAAGCAGGTATGGCATTTTTTTCTCTTCTCGTAATTTTACCAGGACACGGTGTAAAAGAGTCCTGAGGATGTGCCGAAGCTCTGGAAGCTGTTTTTGCCCCTGTGTTTTATTTGCATTTGTTATACACGTAGGGAAGATTTGGGAATATTCAGATTGTGCTGGAAACGGTGAGACGTTTCTGCACTGTAGAGGGGGTGGAGTGACGTTTCAGAGTACCTACTGCCACCGGCTCCCCAATCACAGGGAGCCAGCCTCTGCCACCTCCCCTCTCTCCCTGGTAGAGTGGGAGCGACATCATGAAGCACCTTCAGAGCTGCATAAAGTGCGTGGAGGGTCTTCGTAGCATGCAGGCTGTGTGCATGTAAGCTGGCACCACTGCAAAGCCAGACAGAACCCTAGAGAGCCTGGTCCTGTGCTATTCAGATGGGAAACGTCCATTGATCCCCTTTCACACGATGGAGGCGCCCAGTCTGCCGCCCTCTGCTCCTGTCCACAGCTTTGTTTGGCTTTTCTGTTTGAGGGGTGCTGTGTCGGGCTGGCGCTGCCTGCGGGTCTCTGTCTTTGAGGAGCTGCCAGTTTGGGGTTCAGTACACACAGTGCTGTGGACCACTTTTGTGTGTATTTTGGATTCTGTGGAAGTCAGTTCATAATAACCAGTATTGCTTCAAAACATGCATTTCATATTGAGTTTCTACCTTCCTGAACTCTCAGGGCTCACGTACAGTGTCTGGCAATATTTTTAATCTCATTGGCCAGCTATCGGCTCCCTCAGCAGTGGTGCGAATGCCAGTACACTGTCTGTGTCCTTGGCCTTTGACCTTTGTGGTTGACATTCATCCCTTCCACACACCCTTCAGACGGTGTGTGCGCCTCCTGTCCACTTTGGGATGGGTCACTCCATCTAAATTTTCAGTTAATTCTCTAGTTCCATTTTCAACCTATTTGTTCTTATTTCCATTGCTTCCCCTCCCTCCCCCGCCCCCTGCTTTTGTACCATTAATAGTTTTTCCTTGTTCTGATTTCCCCCCCTAACTTGTTCCAACAGGAAATTGGTAATTTTGAGATGATTTGTAACTGCTAGAGGGAAATAAAACACTTAGGGTGGATGGAAAGTTTTGACCTACGTGCCAGGCAAACAATACAGTGTGTCCAAACTAGGAAGCTGACACTGTCCGAGACATCTCCATATGCAAGGAGGAGTGTTGGTTAATGATTAGTGAGGGCTTATGTTACTGTGAATTTCAACACCATTTTGATTCAATGTTTAAGTCGTTCGGACAGTAAAATCAACTATTTGTCTCCCTGCCTTCTAAGACCTGACATCTTGCCAGGGGAGCACCTGAATTTGCTCTGACAAAACCCATCTGTCCTTGCTGCGCTCTTGCCCACCTGTGAATTGACTCCCTTGGTATCGACGCCCTCATGTGTCAGACCACCTGACTCTCCAGGCAGAAGGGAGGCAGCGAGGGTTTCAGAGTGATCCCCGGAGGCAAACAGACATGGCTCAGATTCTAACTCTGTCCCTTACTCAGCTGACGACCTTGGACAGAATACTTGACTTCACCGCACCTCAGTTTCTCCATCTACACCTTTATTACTAGAAATAGTGCCCACTCCAAGGATTATTCTGAGGATCAAATGAGGTGTGGTATTGAGTGAAGTGGCACAGTAATCACTGAAGAAATATTGGCAAAAGAAGGAGGGAGGGACTTCCTGGAAGCTGAGATGGCTGCAGCAGTGTGAGTAGGGGCCGCAGGAGGGAGGGGCACTGGGGCAGGCTTGGCTGCTGTCGGCTCCTGACCTTGGACAAGTAACCTGTCTTCGCTAGACCCCAGCAAGCTCACCTGTGAAGCAGGCCTGATTTCCAAGTTCCTGGTCCAGATCTGCGAGGTGTCCCCTCTTAGCTGTATCGGTGCATCATGGCTCTGAGGCTCTGGAGAACAGGCCAGACGCCTGCCCGGGGCTCACTCTTGGGAGGAGAAGAGAGTGTCAGGTGGATAAGGAGAGGGTCATCCTTGGAATAAAAGTACAGGCATCCCTCAGAGATGTTACGGGTTCAGGTTGGACCACCACAATACAGCAAATATCACAGTAAAAACATGAGTCACACGAATTTTTTGGTTTCCCATGCATATAAGAGTTATGTTTACACTATATTGTGTACTAATATTATGTCTGAAAAAAACAATGTACATACCTCAATCAAAAATACTTTATTGCTAAAAAATGCTAACCATTATCTGAGCCTTCAGCAAGTTATAATCTTCTTGCTGGAGTTTTCCACAAACCTCCAGTTTGTAAAAAATGCAATATCGTCAGAGTGCAGTGAAGTACAGTGAAACGAGATATGTCTATACGCGCAGTGGTTATGTCAGTAAATCCTTTCATTCTAAAGTTCATCGTGTGGTACATTTATCTCTGGCACCAAGAAAAGGCAAAACAGGGTCTGAGCCATGTCTGTGTGGAGAAAGAACGTTCTGAAGTATTAGACACTAATGGGCACTAAAACTGTGGCTTTATTTTTATTTTTTTAATATATTTTATTGAGTTTTTAGAGAGAGGAGGGAGAGGGATAGAGAGTTAGAAACATCGATGAGAGAGAAACATCGATCAGCTGCCTCCTGCACATTCCCCACTGGGGATGTGCCCGCAACCAAGGCAGTCTGCAGGCTGACACCCTATCCACTGAGCCAAACCAGTTAGGGCTATTTTTATAACTTTTTCTCAGAATCCTCTGTAATGGTTATTGTCCTAAGAATATGAATAAGCAAGCGGTGGTAAGAGGAAAGTGGTTAGTCACATGATTCAATTTTATGTGTGGGAGTATAACATGCAAGAGAAATATGTTGGTCAGTTTTCAAATGGAGTAGTAGTTATTTCTCCTTAAGAAAAGATGTTGAGGGCAAATACTCATGAGAATTTATCATTTTCTTTTTTTAATTTTTAAAATTGAGAGAGAGAAACGTCGATTTGTTGTTCCACTTATTTATAGCAAATACTCATGAGAATTTATCATTTTCTTTTTTTTAATTTTTAAAATTGAGAGAGAGAAACATCGATTTGTTGTTCCACTTATTTATGCATTCATTGGTTAATTCTTGTATGTGCCCTGATTGGGGATCGAACCCACAACCTTGGCATATTGGGATGGTGCTCTAACCGTTGAGCTACCAGGCCAGGTTGAGAATTTATCATTTTCTGAGGACAACGTTCTGATTGTGTGAGGGGTTTTAACATGGAGCAGTGGCCAAAAAGTAATTTGGAACCACATAGACCTGAGGTGGAATCCAAGGTTGTGGTTTTTGGGAATTATATAAACTCTCTGGGTCTCAGTTTCCTTACCTGTAAAATGGGGATAATAAAACCCTCTTCATCAGAGCATGGAATGATATGATGGAGGCCTGATGTTTAAGACAGTACCTGGTCCATGGAGGGCTCAACTAAAAGCTGTTAGTTGTTGTCATTGCCATTATCAACTTTATTGGTTAGGATTTCCATAAAATTTTGAAGGCCTGCAGTGGGTAGGTAGAATGTCAAGAGAATGAGTATAGAAGTGTTCACTCTACCTCATAACTTTTACATGTTTTCATCACTCTTTTTTTTTCTCTTAATAGGAATGAATTCTTCTAAAACCAAACTAGAACTCCAGAAGCACCTGACAACGTTAACCAATCAGGAGCAAGCAATGGTTTTTGAGGAGGTGCAGGTACAGTGGGAGCGTGCCTTTCCATACGGGAAGAAGAGTCAGCAGCCCCTTGTGAAATGTCATTTTTGAGCAATAGGAGACCAGAGCTGTCACGGCCCCCGGGAAGTGGCCCTAACTCCGCTTGGTTTAAGCTGGAACGGCCCCGTGGAAGGGCCAGGTCGGAATTGCAGATTCACATCAGGTCTTGGTTTTCGAGTGAAAACAACAAAACCAGGGGGGGAGTGCTCTCATAAAAATACCATTTCAGAGTGAGAGAAATTACAAAGTGGAAGAACCTCAGCCCGGGGACAGAGACCTGAACTTTCATCCCTGAGCGCTCCTCTGCTCCGTGGGAAACCTCTGCCACCCTTCTCCACGCAGTTTGGCTCCGAGTAGGGAGTTGCAGGAGATGCCGTTTTCTACATGACATTGAACATTAATTGTTCCTCCTGTCTTATTATTTTTTTGGTTTGAAAATAAATGTAGATGATGTTGTCTCCTTAGAACAGTAGACTATGTCAAACCTAAACAAAATACAGAAAAAAACCAAGCTCGGGGGCTTTCTGCATTAAGCCCGGAGACCCGCTCCCGTCCTTGCGTTTCGATGCCACGTATCTTGGGGAAACCACGCTGTGTGTGCCTGCACGCCTGTGACCTGTTCATTCTGACTCTTTAATGAGCTCATCAGAAATGTCATGTCTGCTGTGGCCCAGGGCATTTTCTATGGCTTTCTGGCATTTTTTCTAGGGAGTTAAGCACATCAAAACAAAGAATAAGTATCTCTTTTTGAGTGGGAGGAGAGCGGCAGAGGTCCTGCAAATAGAGGGGTCGTTAAACCGTAGGAGAAGGCTCCAGCCTTCCTCCTTGCAGGGGGAGAGGCTCAACAGTTAGGGCCCATGGTCTGTTTCCTGTGAGTGTGAAAAAGTAAAGGCTTGTCTTTCTTTCAACCACATGTTAAAGTTCTCTTTATCCCCGTTCTCCTCCCTCTGTAAGGTTGGCATATGTCGTAGAAGGAAAGCACAGAAAGTTTTCTAACTTTCATGGATAGCTTAGGATGTCATCTTCATGACTTTTAATTGGCTTTACATTTTTCTTCTGAATCCACTTGAGACACACCAATTTGCTTTCCCTTAAAGGATCTTTAGAGTTCCAAGTACACAGTATGCTTAGACGGATTGAATGTGATTTGCATGTGGAGTTCATCAATGGGTAAATGGATAAATGGGTGGTAATTTGCTTCTGATAATTAATGCATTACAAAGTGCTATCAAGTCACTTTGGGGAGCATCCTGCCAGCCAGTGTAGAAGAGGCGTATTCCTCCCCAGTGTGAGTTTTCTTTATGTAGACATCACTGTGTATGTAACTTTCCCCAAAACAGTGCGATGCATCAGGATAGGAAACACACACGTTTTTTTCTGCGGCAACGAGAAGTGTCTAATGGATATAATTTGAGATGCTCTTTGACCTGCACAAGTTTTGAGACACTGAGTACATATGGCAAAGAGGCTGTAGAGAAAAATGGTGACACAGTTTTACTTTTAAAAAGTGCACTCAGTTGGCCTGGCTGGTGTGACTCAGTGGGTTGAGCGTCGTCCCATGCACCAAGAGGTCGCTGGTTCCATTCCTGGTCAGGGCACATGCCTAGGTTGCG